CAAGAAACACATTTTGTTCAAATTGGTCACCACAGTGGCATTGTAAAAATATACTTTTTTGAGGTATAGCTTAGTTTTCACTTCCGATGTCGGTTTTGTTTTGATCTTCCCTTCCGTCTTTACTCAGATCCCTCCCTTCCATATGAATTGCTCCATAATTTCTGTAAAGCCTTATAGAGCTACTTTGTCATGTGAAACATGCATTTTTAAGACCTTGAGGAACACATTTTTTTTATGGAGTGTCTGACTCAAACACCCTTCAGCTTTAAGACCCAGAGTTACACATTTCTATATAGAATGTCCAACCCAAACATATCCTCATCTCTTTCCACTGTTCCATTTTTGTTTGTATTATCTGACTTTGTTGGGATTATAAATTCCTCAAAAGAGATGGCCATGTCTTATTTTTCTCTGAGTCCGCAATCTATTATGACACACCTCAAGGCACATGGTATATACTCATGAAATAGCTGAGCTGCCAGTATGTGTCGAGGCTTATAACCTTGGGTTTGGACCCATAGTCCTGGGTTCAAATTCTGATTTTGTCATTTCCTACCCAGTAACCTAGGCACAGTATTTTTCACTGAACTTTTTGTTTCCTCGTGGTAAAACTGAGGTAATATGAACCTAACCTTCAGAGTTGCTGTGAAGATGGACTGAAACAGTCCATATAAAGCAGCTAAGCTAGTCCCTGACCCAAAAGTCAATAGCCAGAACGCTTTACATGTTATTATCATCAATTTGGACCTGTTCAATGAAAAAGCCTCTAAAATTGATCATTAAAAATAAAAGCATTCTAATTTGAGTTATTCACAGAAGTTGCTGAAATTATTGCATAGCACTGGCATATTATGGGACTTGGCTTGTTTTAAGGTGGTTGCTTGAAAGTCAGTTTCTAATTCCAAAGATGCTCAGTAGAAAGAACACAGAAATCTGCTTATTTGTACTTTGTTCTTACAAAGTTTAGGTTGTTGTACGTTTTCAAAATCAATGCATAAATTTGAATAAAAATCTATGTTGGATGACTTTGACTATTTTAAGATAGTATTATGATTACTGTGATGTTTGTATTAACAGTCAAGATGAAGAAGAGCAAGATGGCTTCCCAGAAGTCCAGACATCACCTCCTCCATCACCATTTCTTTCTGCCATAATAGCTGCATTTCAGCCGGTAGCGTGTGATGACGAGGAAGAAGCCTGGCGTTGCCATGTCAACCAGATGCTGTCTGACACCGATGGGTCCTGCGCAGTGTTCACTTTTCATGTGTTTTCCAGGCTGTTTCAGGTCCAGGAGGTTTAAAGTTTTCTGAATTTATATTAACAGTTACCTGATAAAGTTATAGGTTTTTTTTAATCTAAAATCAGTATCTCAAAATTCTGTTTTTTTCCCTTTTTTTTTTCAAATTCTATTTTCTATTTTTATTTTTCTTAGTGTCTTAAATTTTCATCTTCCCACTGATGTTCTTTAAAAAAATTTTTTTCCTGGGGCTCGTGGGTGGCATAGTCCATTGAGTGTCTTGGTTTTGGCTCAAGTTGTGATCTCAGGGTCGTGAGATTGAGCCCCATGTTGGACTCCACGCTCAGAGCTGAGTCCGCTTGGGTTTCTCTCTCCCTCTGCCCCTCCTCTCCCCCCCCTCTCTAAAATAAATCTTTAAAAAAATTTTTTTCCCAAAGGTAGGGATATTATTTAAATTTATATTGTGACACCATTGTACTGCTGATAATTTATAAATGACTAATACAGATATCTTCCTTCAGACAACTAAAATAAAACTTGAAAGCAACATCTGATAAATTTTCTACAGTAGGGTGGGCACCATCCGGGATGCCAAAAAAACATAGAAAGCATGGTCCCTGCCTTCACCCCCCAAGGGTTTACAGTCACTATCATAAAACAATTTATAATTAAGTACTAAATTAATTGGCTGTGTTTCCACACATCTCAAAAATTTTAGCTAAGATTGCTTCCAACCGTAGAAATAGTAATATGAGCTCCCCTGTATTGAGTGCTCACTGCATGCTAGGCATTGTGCTTAAATGCTTTACATTATTTAATTCCTAGAACAGACCTATGAAATGTAGATGTATTTCTGGCATTCTTTAGCCAGGGAAACTAAAGCACAGAGAAACGCCAGGTCAGTCATTATGCTCTGAAATACCTACCACTTTTCCTCTCAACCCAGGCAAATGCTGCCCATCTTGGAAGACCCAGCTAAGTACATATTCTCAGTGGGGCTTTTCCAGCCACTCCAACCTCCAGTCTCTCCCTCCGGGAAGTTGTTTAACGCTCATGAACCAGAGCATTTATTTATTTTATTCTGTACTTTTGCATTGCTGCTTGGTTTCCTGTTTATGTATTTTTTTCTTTCCAATGCTATTCTGTTTCCTGGTGCTTGAGATTGTAGCTAATGCTTTTATTATTATGAAATCATAAGGATATCCAATGGTGCGGCACATATACATGTCGGTACATGTTAACTATTTATATAATTACACCATTGATAATGTAGTCCAATTCACTCAGTGCTCATTATGGGTAAGGCACTATCTACTTCATGTCAATGAGAATTCTTGAGTTTTGAGAAGATAGTACCCTTAATGCATGTTTATGACTTTAATTAAATCAGATGGCAGCCCATAGCCAAGCATACATAGTAAGCTGCATTTACTGAAAGTTTCTTTCAGGTAGAACTTTAGAAGAGCTAATTCTTCAGCCATGTAAGGACTTTATTTCCAATGATGTGCAGCATGTATTCCTTCTCTCTCTCCTAATGAAAAAAATCTCAGGAATGGGGAAATGAATGGCATGAATCATCAGTTTCTTTTTTCAATAGTATGATTTTGTAAATTTTTGATCATTTTGTGAAATTAACGTATCCTAAAGAAGAGCCTAAAAACATGGATTTACAGACCAGTTATTAGAATTCTGTATACCACTACAATAATTTTAAAATAAAAGTTTGCCCTAATTATAAATTATGCTTCTTAAAAAGGCCTCCTTATGAAACACTAAAATTTGTTAATGCTTTTCTCCATAGACAATTCAAAGAAAGTTTGGAGATATAACTAATGAGGCAGTTAGCTTTCTTGGTGAGAGTCTGCAACGCATTGGTACCAAATTTAAAAGTTCACTGGAAGTGATGATGATGTGTTCAGAATGCCCAACAGTCTTTGTGGATGCTGAAACAGTAAGTTTTTATATGAAGGCTTATTATAAAGACTAAATTTGAATGGCACCAATCAGTAAATGGTCTTTTTTTTTTTAAAGGCAAATCAGAATTTTGAAGTGTAAAGGTTAATATTTTCAATTTGACTATAAATATCTCACAAAATATAATTCCAATGTACTATATGCAGTGACTTGTGACTGTTTCTGATTCTGAGCCCCCACCGTCCTCACCATCCTCACCCTTCACAGAGTCCTAGATGGAGAAGCTAGAGAGTTCTACTCTAGACATGGGTACTTTTTTCCTGATTCTTGGATAAAAATGCTAGGTAGGAGAGGGCTAGACCTACGCCCGTGAAGAGCCCAGAGCTTAGTCTTCGTGTTTTGTTTCCAAACATGCTCATAGATTATGTATTAAGATATTTAGAGAGGGGCACTTGGGTGGCTCAGTCAGTTAAGTGTCCAACTTTTGATTTCAGCTCAGGTCATGATCTCAGGGGTGGTGAGATCGAGCCCCACATTGGGCTCCACGCTGGACATGGGAGCCTGCTTAAGATTCTCCCTGTCCCTCTGTCTTTAAAAAAAAAAAAAAAAACATATTTAGAGAATTAAGATTTAAGAAGCTTCAAGGGTGTTAGCTTTAAGGTATATACTGGTCTGGCATGCCATTTCTCACCTAAGGCAGTTCTTGAAAGCATTTGAAGGCATGCTTGTCCTTGCTGGCATCCCTGAAATCCCACTGCATTTGTACTATTTCAGCAAAAGGTCAGCCCTTCGTACAGGGACAGAGTGCAGTAAAGGGACGCCGGCACTAAGTTGGGCCAAAAACCAACTAACAGAAATTCCACGACTCAAAAGTTGCCAGTCTCATGACTATGACCAGAAATGATAACCTGGGGGCACCTGAGTGGCTCAGTCATTAAGTGTCTGCCTTTGGCTTGGGTCGTGATCCCAGGGTCCTGGAATCCTGCTCAGCCGGGAGCCTGCTTCTCCCTCTACCCCTGCTCGTACTCTCTCTCTCTCTCTCTCTCTCTCTCAAATAAATGAAATCTTAAAAAAAAAAAAAAGCAATAACCTGGATCAATGTTTCTGATTTGACAGCTGATGTCATGCGGTTTGCTGGAAACACTCAAGTTCAGTGTTTTGGAGTTGCAAGAACACCTGGATACATACAATGCCAAAAGAGAAGCAGCTGAGCAGGTCAGTCTCCTTTAGCCATACGAAAAAAGTAGCTTGCTTTTGACACTAGAAATGTTAACTTCACAGCTGAATAGCCAAGAGAGAAAAGAGGGCCTCTTAGCACTTGCCTCGGGGTTTTACTGAGAACATGGGCCCTTCCTCTGAATTCTCTGTCCAGTGAACTCCTATCCTTGGCTCTTAGAAATCAGCCCTCGAAGAGCCTAAGAACACAATGGAAAACTATAGCTTTATAAAAGCTTCTTTGTGGAGACGACATAGCTTCTGTCCATAGTGCAAGTGGGGAAATAAAAGCATCAGCTCTCTGAGAATGCACTGTGCTGCTGTGATCTAGAAAATGTGCAACCCATGCCAAAGCAGGGCTCTCCTTCCTGCGACGTGGATGTGGGCAAGCAAAGGGAGAAAGAGTTGTGTAGTAGATTATAGGTCGTACTTTCGAAGAGATGTTTCTTCATCCCCCATCTGGCACTGCAAAACAATAATTAGTTCTGTTCCCGAGAGGGAAGATTTTCAATTAGCAGGGGCAGAAAAACTGAAAAATGTTTTCTCCTTTTCACACAAACTATATAGAGTAGACATTTTTTTCCTAGAATAGATGGATTTTTCATTAATTAGTATTAAATAGCTGTCACATGTAATGCTCGCTTCCTCAGCACATCTACTAAAATTGGAATAATAGAAGATTAGCTTGGTCCCTGTGCAAGGATGACATGCAGATTCGTGAAGTGTTCCATATTTTCTTTGGAATATTACTCAGCCATAAAAAAGAATGAAATCCTGCCATTTGCAACGACATGGATGGAGCTAGAGGGTATTATGCTAAGTGAGATAAGTCAGTCAAAGAAAGAGAATTATCATATGATCTCACTCCTGTGTGGAATTTAAGAAACAAAACAAATGAACATAGGGGGAAAAGAGAGGCAAACCAAGAAATAGACTTTTTTTTAATTTTTTTTATTATGTTAGTCACATACAATACATCATTAGTTTTGATGTAGTGATCCATGATTCATTGCTTTCGTATAACATCCGGTGCTCCATGCAGTACGTGCCCTCCTTAATACCCATCACCGGGCTAACCCATCCCCCCACCCCCTCCCCTCTAGAACCCTCAGTTTGTTTCTCAGAGTCCATAGTCTCTCATGGTTCATCTCCCCCTCTGATTCCCCCCCCCATTTCTCCCTTCCTTCTCCTAATGTCCTCCCTGCTATTCCTTATGTTCCACAAATAAGTGAAACCATATGATAATTGACTTTCTCTGCTTGACTTACTTCACTGAGCATAATCTCCTCCAGTCCCATCCATGTTGATGTAAAAGTTGGGTATTCATCCTTTCTGATGGCTGAGTCATATTCCATTGTAGATATGGACCACATCTTCTTTATCCATTCATCTGTTGAAGGGCATCTCGGCTCTTTCCACGGTTTGGCTATTGCGGACATTGCTGCTATGAACATTGGGGTGCATATGGCCCTTCTTTTCACTACATCTGTGTCTTTGGGGTAAATACCCAGGAGTGCAATTGCTGGGTCATAGGGTAGCTCTATTTTTAATTTTTGAGGCACCTCCACATTGTTTTCCAAAGTGGCTGTACCAACTTGCATTCCCACCAACAGTGTAAGAGGGTTCCCCTTTCTCCACAACCTCTCCAGCATTTGTTGTTTCTTGCCTTGTCAATGTTTGCCATTCTAACTGGTGTAAGGTGGTATCTCAGTGTGGTTTTGATTTGAATTTCCCTGATGGCTAATGATGATGAACATTTTTTCATGTCTGTTTGCCATTTGTATGTCTTCTTTGGAGAAGTGGCTGTTCATGTCTTCTGCCCATTTTTTGACTTGATTGTTTGTTTTTTGGGCGTTGAGTTTGACTCCTAATTATAGAGAACAAACTGAGGGTTCCTGGGGGGGGGGGGGGGGTGAAATCGGTGATGGGGATTAAGGAGGGCACTTGTGATGAGCACCAGGTGTTGTAAGTAAGTGATGAATCACTAAAGTCTACACCTGAAACTAATTTTTTAAAAATTTTTAATTAAAAAAAGTATATATATCTCACATGTAAAGGCCTATGAAAAGTATAAAACCTGGCTCTTATTCCCTTAATGTACTCGGTAAGAATATAAAGCACAAACACTACATACAATAATTAGTAACAAAAGTGTCAATTTATAGCTATAAATAAAAGTAGTGGCAATGAAAGAGACTTCACAAAATTGTACAGGTCTAACATACCTGATGCTATATACTGTTATTTCCAAAGAGAGGTCACTTTGGGCTATTAGGAAAACTTCATGGAATGGAGATCAGACCTCAGGCCTTGACAGACGGTAATTTTAGATTGGGGGATTCTTTCAGGGAAAGAATATGGTATGAGAAAATACTTATATATTAGTATTTATTCTAAGTATTCTCCCCTTATAAGGGAGGAGGAAATCTTAACATTTGGACTGATAGAATAATGACAGATTGGTAAAGAGGGAAGAGTTTTCGACATTGGGAAAGTATCGGGCAAGATCTGGTCATCTTACAAATACAGTAGTCCCCCCTTATCCATGGGGGACACATTCCGAGAGCCCCAGTGGATGCCCACAACCATAGATAGTACCAGAACCCTGTTTATACTGTGTTTTTTCCTGTACATGATGAAGTTTATAAAGTAGGCTCAGTAAAAGATTAACAACAATAATAAAATGGCACAATTATAACAATGGACTATAAAAGAGGTTGTGTGAAGGTGGTCTCTTTTTCTCCCAAAATATGTTACTGTACTGGACTCACCCTTCTTGTGATGACATGACATGATACAATGCCTTCAGGATGAGATGGAGAGGTGACTGATGTAGGCCTTGTGACATAGCGTCAGGCTACTATGAACCTTCCAATGATAGGTCAGAGGATCACTGCCTCCGGCCTGCCATTGACTTTGGGTGCCTGAACCCACAGATATGGGTGGAGTACTATAACACTGCCATGTACATTCTTGTGCATGTCTTTTGTGTACTTATGTTCACATACCTGTTGAGTATCTAGGAGTACAGTTGCTGGGTCATGGAGTATACATATGTTCGACGTTAGTAGATCCTGCCATGCAGTTTTCTAAAACCTGCTGTATCAGTTTATAATCCCTGCAGAAGTGTGTACAAGAGTTACTGTTGCTTCAGATCTTTGCCACCACTTGGTATTTCCACCTTTTAAAATTTTAGTCATTCTGGTGGGTGTGTTGTATTTTATCATATTATTTTGCATTTCCCCTGAAGACTTGTTTGAGCACCTGCTCCAATAGATATTTTATTTAGGTATTTTTTGAACTGTGCCTTCAAGTATCTTGTCCATTTTTGTAAATGGGTTATTTACGGCTTTCTTATTGATTTGTAGGAGTTCTTCTAAACACAAGCCTTTTACTGGATGTATGTATTATAAATTTTTTCCCTTCTCTGTGGCTAGCATTTTCACTATCTTAATAGCATCCTTTGATGAACACAGGTTTTTAATTTTAATTAAGTCCAACTTATCTGTCTCTTTTCCATTATGGTTAGTGCCTTTTGTGTCTTCAGAAATATCTGCCTACCATAGAAGCTGTGATAGATTGCTACAATTAATGACCTGATAAACCATGCCTCTGTGTGTCCACACCCTTTTATAACTTGGCTTTGCTGTTCCTTCTGTCAGCAGATGGAGTGTAGTTCCGCACCTCTTAAGTCTGAGGTATCCTTGTCTTTTTCTGACCAAATTCAGACACAGTGCTGTGCAGTTTCTGGGCCTAGCATGTAGGCCTTTTGCAGCTTGTGCTTTTGCCATCACGCCAGTCCAAGTGTAAATTGGGTAAACCCTGGAAAACTAATTTGACCCTTAGCCTCCTAGAGAATTAGAGGCCACGTGGAGGAGAATGGAGGCATCCCAGCTGACAGCTGGCATGCCAGGCATTTAAGTGAGGCCAACTTAGGATTTCCAGCCCCTGTCAAGTCATTAGAGGACTGGGACTCATGAGCGACCCTAGGCAAGACCGGAAGAAACTCCCAGCCAACAGATTAGTCTGGTTGTTTTTTTTTTTTTAAACTTTTTTTTTTTAAGATTTTATTTATTTATTCATGACAGAGAGAGAGAGAGAAGCAGAGGGAGAAGCAGACTCCCAAGGAGCAGGGAGCCCGATGCGGGACTCGATCCCAGGACCCTGGGATCATGACCTGAGCCGAAGGCAGACGCTTAACCATCTGAGCCACCCAGGCGCCCTAGTCTGGTTGTTTTAAGCCATTAAGTTTTAGAGAGGTTGGTGATACAGCAATAGATACCACGTACAATAGGAAAACATCAAACACCTACAAATAAATCTAGGCAAAGATGTGCTATGCCTCCACACAGAAAACTTCAAATATGACTGAGAGAAATTAAAGGCCATCTCAATAAATTAAAGACTATACTATGTTCATGAATCAGGAGACTCAAAATCTCAGATAGTCTATTAATGGAAATTGGCAGGCTAACTCTACAATTTATATGGACATACAAATAGCTAATTATAGAGCAAACAACCTTCTTGAACACAGGTCAGCAAACTACAGCCCATAGGTCATATCTGGCCCACTGCCTGTTTTTCTAAATAAAAGGTTTTTTTGGAACTTAGTCATCATATTTGTTTACATATTGTCTGTGGCTATTTTTTGCACTGCAACATAGTTAAAATAGAGAATAAATGGTTTGCAGTGCCTAAAATCTTTACTCTGTCCTTCACAGAAATAGCCTTCCAAACCTTGTCCATGAAGAACAACAAAGTCTAAACAGTGTTAAAATTCCAGTAGTTACTACTTCCAGTAGTAAGACTTACTAAAAAATTCAAGAGTATATTGGCTTAAGAATAGAAAAACAGACCAATGGAATATAATAGAAAATCCGATGACAGACATATATACATGTGTGTAATAATTTATAGTAAACGTGCTATTGCTACGCAGTGGGAAGAGAATGGCTTTTCAGTAAATTGTGTTGAAGCAAATATTTGTATGGGGGAGAAAAATGATTCCTTCTGAGCTACCATCTCCCACTATTTGTCACATCTGTTCTTTGTTTTGTTTTTGTTTTTTTAAAGACTTTATTTATTTGACAGAGAGAGAGAGAGCACAAGCAGGGGGAGCAGCAAGGGAGAGGGAGAAGCAGACTTCCCACTGAGCAGGGAGCCCAATGCGGGGCTTGATCCCAGGACCCTGGGATCATGACCTGAGCCGAAGGCAGACACTTAACCAACTGAGCCACCCAGGCGCCCCCCATCTGTTCTTTGTTACCTTTTTCTCTCCTTTCTTATTTTGGTCTATGAACCAAGTATTTCTTGTTACTCAGTTTTTCCCTCTAATAGTTTTTAGTATTATAGTCTTATAGGTAAGACATTCTTCCATTATTCCTTGAGTCTCCTGAGGATCATGAGTGAAAGTGTGGGGTATGCATCAGGACCCCTGCCATCTTGGCAGGAAATGAACAGTTCTTCTTTTCAACACCAGGAGACCAGAAATCTCTTACATTTTTTAGCCTCCCCGATGCTGCTGCTTGGTTTTCTAGCCTCTCCTCCTGCACATGTTAAACGTTGGAGCGGCAGTGTTCCAAGGGAAGCTGCACACAGTTGGGTCCCCTCTCCTCCAGCATCCTGGCCCTCGATACTTGCCCTGCCTTTGATGACCCTGTTTTCCCAGCTCAGTGACACTGTGGGCCACACCCCTCAGGCCACGGCTGTCTGTTCAGCCTCTCTGCCTGAGGCA